TGGATCAGTGGAGCCAAAGACTTGGGAGAGGAGATTGGAAAGGAAATGGCCGAGGAGCTGGAATAGTAACGGCAGAATTGAGCATCCTCTCGGATATTGCAAAGGCCATCCTGTTTGGCTTGCAGAGAATGCCACCACTGTATTTGAGGCAAGGAAAGGGCAGGGATGTGTTCGTTCGTGGTGGCTCCAGTACTGTTTAGAATGGCTTGGTGGAGAAGACCAGCCGTTTCCCCTTTTTAGCTTTCTTCTCAAACATGGGCATTTGGCATCAAGGGCATTGTTCTGTCTCCCAGGAGACCGGTTTGCATTGCTTTTTTAGTTGCTTGGAGTGGCTGCCCCTTGCCTTTCTCTCAGGAGGTGCTGCAGCCTTGCAAAGCCAGGAGTTTTAACAGCCAAAGGTGGGAAAAGCCAGTCTGCAAACTCTTTGCAATGATTGGCCTAGGGAGCAGCTCTTTGAGCCCGCCCCTACTCCCGGGGAAAGACTTCCATTTTGGAGTCCTCCCTGCCTGTTCAGTTCTGAAGAAGGAATCTGATGTGCTGGTGGCCAGACAGGTAGCTCCGACAAACCACTGTAAAAACAATTGAGAAATTAAGACAGAGAAGTTTATTGAGAAGAATTGAGCTATAATTAGATTATAAGAGAATTATATAGAGATATTGATATTGAAAATAGATATTGAGCTTTGAGAATTGAGTTTTATAGAGTCTTATAGAGAGAGAGACTGCATTGCCTTATCTCCAAGGCTAATCTGGAGCTTAGATAGGGAAAAATTTGTTCTTTCTAAAAGACAACAGCTCTGGATTAGGGTGAAGGATCCCTGGATCCCTTTGCCACTTGGGGAAAGGCTGACTCAGTAACTGGTGGAGAAGAGAAAGAAGAAATATCTATTTGGTTTCTCAATTGACTGTTCTGTTTGCAACTTTGAGAAATAAATATCATTTTTTTATATTCAGACCTTGTAATAGACTCAGTTGCTGAGAATCTCAATCTTCTCAAGAAAAGCACCAGCAGTTCACCCAGACATAGGGAACAGCACATCATAGTTTTGTTTTTAAAAGTGTCTGAGTGTAACGGCACAGGCATCATGTCTTAAGATTTGTGTCAATCTCAAAAACAAGCAACCAGTGAGTTCTTAAGGGTTGCAGATCAAGTCTGAAAATGTGAAATGGCCCAGAGGGACAGAAGACAACAAGTTGGATGCACAATAGTTGAAAAGTACTGCATAGTTTTGTCCGCTGCTGCTCCACCAACAGTTTGCAGTCCACAAAGCAATGGCTGTTGCACTTCAGAGTAGAATCACCTTGCTTCAGACACCAAACAGCACACAAGCAATAGTCTTTATGGTTTATTAAAGTAAAAGATAAAAAGTTCAAAAAAGGCAAAAGTATAGTCCAAAGTATGGTGTTCCCCAAAGTCACCTACGGATGTGAGAGCTGGACCATAGGGAAGGCTGAGCGAAGGAAGAGAGATGCTTTTGAAGTGTGGTGTTGGAGGAAAATTCTGAGAGTGCCTTGGACTGCGAGAAGATCCAACCACAACCAACAAAAAATACTTAAGGCATCCAGTCCGGTTCCCTTCACCAGGGCAAGAAAATGTAATCAAAGCCCTCCTGACAAAGAGTCATAAATATAGATAGATAGATAGATAGATAGATAGATAGATAGATAGATAGATAGATATGATTCACACACAGAGATATATAGTATCATAGATTTGAAAGGGACCTCTAAAGAAGGGCAATGATATGTTGCACGTTCCAGAGTAGGCAAACCAGACACTCTCCACATCAACACTGACAACAAGAAATACTGTTTACCCACAAGCAGAAAGGAATTACATAATATTAGAAACCAACACTTTCTCATTACTTTATTTTCCAGATCACCAGACTGGGCCACAGCAACGCGTGGCAAGGGACAGCTAGTAGTTACATAAAACGTATGAATACATAACAATGTGAAAATTACAGTAAACACAGGCACAATAACAATGGGCAGGCTACATGTCATGATTAAGAGACAAACTAATTAAAAACTTGGGCGAGATAAAAGGGAGAAGCAGGTAATTTGCGGAGGAAGGCTCATACTAATCTATGCAATACTTTTGATATGAAATAATAATGGCCTGGAGCCCTGGTGGCGCAGTGGGTTAAAGCACTGAGCTGCTGAACTTGTTGACCGAAAGGTCGCAGGTTCGAATCCAGGGAGCAGCGTGAGCTTCCGCTGTCAGCCCCAGCTTCTGCCAACCTAGCAGTTCGAAAACATGCAAATGTGAGTAGATCAATACGTACTGCTTCGGCGAGAAGGTAACAGCGCTCCATGCAGTCATGCTGGCCACATGACCTTGGAGGTGTCTACGGACAACACCGGCTCTTTGGCTTAGAAATGGAGATGAGCACCACACCCCAGAGTCGGACAAGGGGAAAACCTTTACCTTACCCAATAATGGCCCAGAATAATCAGCAGCGGTAACCGAACGGTTAAATGCTGCATCGGAGCCTGAGGATTTCCCTAATCACGTACAAATGAAGACAAAAATCTCTTAATCCACTTTTGTAAGAATAGCCACATACTAACTCAGCTGATTCTAGTTAAGAGATCCTTCAAAGTTGGAACACAATCACATCTTGGCAAACCCAAATGAAACATACCCTTTGGCTTTTCAAAGAGGAGAACTGAGTCACATGAGACCAAGCAACATAAGACTTGGTCAACAAAAGGTATTGATGAGGAAGAGTGCACCAGTTTGCTTTTGCCCGAACCTACTGGGAAGATAAAGATTTCTCCTCCTCTCCTCTGTTTACTGAGCGCAAACTACTTTTGTGCTTTGAATGGCCTGGAACACTAAAGGCTGTGAGAAAAGGGATTCTTTATGAAGTCACAGAGCAGAGTTTATTTTTTTACATGGAATAGTTGTAATCTCCATTGGTGGAGGGATTACTCATATCAATGAAATCAAAGCATTAAAGAAGAAAATTGGACGAGAGGGCTCTTTCATAAGCCTCCCAGGGTTTTCAGAAGACTCTTATTTTTAAAAAAATTTTTACAGAGCAGTTGAACACAAAAAATGCAGTTACAAAACCCAGCCACATGCCACGAGGATGTGCTTTTTAGGAAATCAGATGACAAGCAATGTCAGGAATGCCATGTCACATAAATTATATAAGAGGAGAACGCATTCAGTCTCCATGCATAAAGCAAGATATTTCAAAACCTTTCTTTGCTCCTCCCCCCATAAACAAAAAATGAATTTAAATTTGCCTAAATTACTATCATTATGATTTTATTTATTAAAACCGCCTCTCCTTGTGGCTTGAGGTTGTTTACAAAATCGCCAAAACACAATCACCTAAAGACATTTCACAAAATGCACATATTAAAATGTATTTCTACAAAAGATGTATTTATTTATTAACATTTATATGCTACCCTTCTCACCCATCAGTATTAAATATTAATATATTGTACTATAACATTATAGCTCTGCGAGTGCAGCATTTTCCCGAATGAAGCAGAGAGTGTTTGAGGATCGGGACATCCGTAGGGAGACCAAGGTGCTTGTTTATAAAGCTATTGTCCTCCCAACTCTGCTATACGCCTGCGAAACGTGGACTGTCTACAGATGTCACATGCAACTCCTGGAACGATTACATCAGCGCTGCCTCTGGAAAATCCTGCAAATCTCTTGGGAGGACAAGCGGACAAACATCAACATGCTGGAAGAAGGAAAGACCACCAGCATTGAAGCGATGGTCCTCCGCCACCAACTCCACTGGACTGGCCGCGTTGTCCGGATGCCCGACCACCGTCTCCCAAAGCAGTTGCTCTACTCCGAACTCAAGAATGGAAAATAGAATGTTGGTGGACAGGAAAAGAGATTGAAAGATGGGCTCAAAGCCAATGTCAGTGGTAAGAGGGAGAGAGAAGAAGGGAAAGAGAAGGAGGAGAGAGGAAGAGAGAAGGAGGAGAGAGGGAGAGAGAAGGAGGAGAGAGGGAGAGAGAAGGAGGAGAGAGGGAGGAAGGAAGGAGGGAATAGAAAGGAGGGAAAAAGAGGAGAGAGGGAAGGAGGGAAGAGAGAAGGAGGGAAAGAGAAGGGAAAAGGAAAGAGGGAGGAGAAGAAGGAGGAAAGAGGGAAGGAGGAGAGAGGGAGGAAAAGGAGGGAAGAGGGAAGAGAGAAGGAAAGAAAGAGAAGAAGGAAAGAGGGGAAAGAGGGAGAGAGGAGAAAAGAGGGAAAAGAGAAGGAGGAGAGAGAAGGAAAGAGGGAAGGGAGAAGGAGAGAAAGAGAGGAGGAGGAGAGATGGAAGAGGAAAGAGAGGAGGAGATAAGAGGGAAGGAGGGAAAGAGAAGGAGGAGAGAGGGAGAGAAAAGGAGGGAAGAGCGAAGGAGTGAAAGAGAAGAAGGAAAGAGGGGAGAGAGAAGGAGGGAAAGAGAGAAGAAGGAAAGGGAAGGGAGAAGAAGGGAAATAGAGAAGGAGGAGAGAGGGAATAGAGACAGAAGGAGGGAAGAGAGAAGGAGAAAGGGAAGAAAGAAAGGGAAAGAGAAGGAGGAGAGAGGGAAGAAAAGAAAGAGAGGAGGAGAGAAGGAAGAGAGAAGGAGGGAAAGAGAAGGAGTGAAGGAAGAGAGAAGGAGCGAAAGGGAAGAGAAGGAGGGAAAGAGAGAAGGAGGAGAGAGGGAAGACAGAAGAAGGAAAGAGGGAAGAGAAGGAGGAAAGAGGGAAGGGAGAAGGAGGGAAAGAGAAAAGGAAGAGAGAGGAGGAGAGAGGGAAGGGAGAAGGAGGGGAAGAGAGGGAGGGAAGTAAGGGGTGGGCGGCGCTAGGGCCGCGCGGGGCGGGAGAGGGGCGTGGGGCGCCCTGGCCGCCCTCCTCCTCCTCCTCCTCCTCCGGCGTCCGCTCCGCCGAGCCTGGCTCGGGCCATGCCGCGGGGGCAGGAGCAGCGACAGCATCGGGCGGGCGGGCGGCGGGGAGCCTGCTCTGGGGGCGCGGCGGCGGCGGCGGCGAGGATGGGCTGAGCGGGGCTGTCCGCCCGCCGAGGAGGATGCGTTGCCCGGGGCTGGGTCTGGCGGTGGTGCTCCTGCTGTCTCTGTGGGTCCCGCTGCGGAGCTGCTGCCCGGTGCCCGTGCGGGGCTGCAAGTGCGCGGGCGGGGAGCGAGGCAAGGGCGCCTCGGCGGGACGGAGGAGGGTCAGCTGCACCGGAGGAGACGCCGCCCAACCCCCGCCCGCCGCCCTCCTGCCCAACGGAACCATCGCCCTGTGAGTAGCAGGCGCTTAATCAATTGGCCGCCTTGGTTGGCATTGAATGGCCTCGCAGCTTCAAAGACTGGCTGTGGAAGGTCCAGGGTGGGAGAAAGAACTCTTGTCTGTTGGAGGCAAGTGTGAATGTTGCAATTGAATGGCTTTGCAGCTTCAAAGCCTGGTTGTGGAAAGTCCAGGGTGGGAGAAAGAACTCTTGTCTGTTGGAGGCAAGTGTGACTGTTGCAATTGGCCACCTTGATTCGCATTGAATGGCCTCGCAGCTTCAAAGACTGGCTGTGGAAGGTCCAGGGTGGGAGAAAGGACTCTTGTTTGTTGGGGGCAAGTGTGAATGTTGCAATTGGCCACCTTGATTCGCATTGAATGGCCTTGCAGCTTCAAAGCCTGGTTGTGGAATGCTGTCCAAGGTGGGAGAAAGAACTCTTGTCTGTTGGAGGCAAGTGTGAATGTTGCAATTGGCCACTTGATTCGCATTGAATGGCCTTGCAGCTTCAAAGCCTGGCTGTGGAAGGTCCAGGGTGGGAGAAAGGACTCTTGTTTGTTGGGGGCAAGTGTGAATGTTGAATTGGCCACCTTGATTCGCATTGAATGGCCTTGCAGCTTCAAAGCCTGGCTGTGGAAGGTCCAGGGTGGGAGAAAGGACTCTTGTTTGTTGGGGGCAAGTGTGAATGTTGAATTGGCCACCTTGATTCGCATTGAATGGCCTTGCAGCTTCAAAGCCTGGCTGTGGAAGGTCCAGGGTGGGAGAAAGGACTCTTGTTTGTTGGGGGCAAGTGTGAATGTTGAATTGGCCACCTTGATTCGCATTGAATGGCCTTGCAGCTTCAAAGCCTGGCTGTGGAAGGTCCAGGGTGGGAGAAAGGACTCTTGTTTGTTGGGGGCAAGTGTGAATGTTGAATTGGCCACCTTGATTCGCATTGAATGGCCTTGCAGCTTCAAAGCCTGGCTGTGGAAGGTCCAGGGTGGGAGAAAGAACTCTTGTCTGTTGGAGGCAAGTGTGAATGTTGCCATTGGCCACCTTGATTAGCATTGAATGGCCTTGCAGCTTCAAAGCCTGGCTGTGGAAGGTCCAGGGTGGGAGAAAGGACTCTTGTTTGTTGGGGGCAAGTGTGAATGTTGAATTGGCCACCTTGATTCGCATTGAATGGCCTTGCAGCTTCAAAGCCTGGTTGTGGAAGGTCCAGGGTGGGAGAAAGGACTCTTGTTTGTTGGGGGCAAGTGTGAATGTTGAATTGGCCACCTTGATTCGCATTGAATGGCCTTGCAGCTTCAAAGCCTGGTTGTGGAAGGTCCAGGGTGGGAGAAAGGACTCTTGTTTGTTGGGGGCAAGTGTGAATGTTGAATTGGCCACCTTGATTCGCATTGAATGGCCTTGCAGCTTCAAAGCCTGGTTGTGGAAGGTCCAGGGTGGGAGAAAGGACTCTTGTTTGTTGGGGGCAAGTGTGAATGTTGAATTGGCCACCTTGATTCGCATTGAATGGCCTTGCAGCTTCAGAGCCTGGCTGTGGAAGGTCCCACAGGTAGGAATCAGCCAGGCCTTGAAGCTGCAAGGCTTTGCAACGCTAATCAAGGTTGCCACTTGCAACATTCTCACATTCCTACAGATATATAAACCTCCCTTATATCTCAAAATCTCTGAGGATGCCTGTGATAGATGTGGGCAAAAGGATAGGGTTAATGTTGCAATTTATCACCTTGATTAGCATTGCAAAGCCTTGCAGCTTCAAAGCCTGGCTGCTTCCTGCCTGGGGAAATCCTTTGTTGGATGGAGTTAGCTGGCCCCGATTGTTTCCTGTCTGGAATTTGAGTGTTTGTTGTTCTTTGAGTGTTGTTCTTTATACACTGTACTGATTTTAGAGTTTTTTAAATACTGGGAACCAGATTTTGCTCATTTGCTCATTTCCTGATTTCCTCATTTCTGTTGAAATTGTCTACATGTGTGTGGATTTCAATTGTGAGCTAACACCTCCCAACAAAGGATTCCACAGGCAGGAATCAGCTAGGCTTTGAAGCTGCAAGGCTTTGCAGTGCTAATCAAGGTGATTAATTGAAACATTCACACCTACCTCCCACAGACAAGAGTTTTTTCTCCCACCCTGGACATTCCACAGATATATAAAGCCCACTTGCCTAGTTTCCAACAGACCTCACAACCTCTGAGGATGCCTGTCATAGATGTGGGTGAAATGTCAGGAGAGAATGCTTCTGGAACATGGCAAGAGTTCTTTCTCCCACCCGGGACATTCCACAGATACATAAACCCCATTTGCCTAGTTTCCAACAGACCTCACATCCTCTGAGGATGCCTGCCAAAGATGTGGGTGAAATGTCAGGAGAGAATGGTTCCGGAACTTGGCCACAAAGCCTGGAAAACTTACAGCAATGTAGTGATTCTGGCCATGATAGCTTTCAACAACAGACAAGAGTTTTTTTCTCCCACCCTGGACCTTCCACAGCCAGGCTTTGAAGCTGCAAGGCCATTCAGTGCGAATCAAGGTGGCCAATTGCAACATTCACACTTGCCTCCAACAGGCAAGAGTTCTTTCTCCCACCCTGGACATCATTCCAGTTGCCTAGTTTCCAACTGACCTCACAATCTTTGATTAGCATTTAATGGCCTTGCAGCTTCAAAGCCTGGCTGGTTACTGCCTGGGGAGATCCAATGGATCAACGGAACAATGGCTTCAAACTACAAGAAAGGAGATTCCATCTGAACATGAGGAAGAACTTCCAGACTGTGAGAGCTGTTCAGCAGTGGAACTCTCTGCCTCGGAGTGTGGTGAGAGGCTCCTTCTTTGGATGCTTTTAAACAGAGGCTGTATGGTCATCTGTCGGGGGTGCTTTGAATGCAATATTCCTGCTTCTTGGAAGAATGGGGTTGGACTGGATGCCCATGAGGTCTCTTCCAACTCTATGATTCTATGATTCTTTGTTGGGAGGTGTTAGATGGTCCTGGACATTATTCCACAGATATATTTTATGTTGTATATTTGCTTTGTTGTAATTGTTGGGCTTGGCCTCATGTAAGCCGCCCCGAGTCCCCTTGGGGAGATGGTATAAATAAAGTTTTATTATTATTATGTTATTAGTAGTAGTAGTAGTAGTAGTAGTAATAGTAGTAAAAGAGAAGGGGGAAAGAGAGAAGGAGGGGAAGAGAGGAAGGAGGGAAGAGAGACGAGGAAACAGAGAAGAAAGGAAAGAGAAGAAGGAAAGAGGGAATAGAAAGGAGGGAAAAAGAGAAGGAGGAGAGAGGGAAGGAGTAAAGAGAGAGGAGGAAAGAAGGAAAGAGGTGAGGAAGAGAGGAAGGGAAGAGAGAGGAGAGAAGAGAGAAGGAAAGAGGGGAAGGGAGAAAAGAGAGAGAGAAAGAGGGAAAGGGAGAATGAGAGAGAGATGGGAAGGGAGAGGCACTGGAAGGGAGAGGCAGAGAGACAGAGAGCTGGAGAGAGAGAGAGGGAAAGGAGAGGGAGAAAGAAGAGGGAAAGAAGGAGGGAAGGAGAGAAAGAAAGGTAAGAGAAGGAAGGAGAGAAGGAGGTAGAGAAAGAAAGGTAGAGAAGGAAGGGAGAGAAGGAAAGAAGGGAAAGGAAAGAGAGAAAGAGAAGGAGAAGAGAAGGAGGAGAGAGAAGGAGAGAAGGAAAAAGGAGTAAGGAGGGAAGAAAGAAGGGGAGGGAAGAGAAGGAGGAAAAGAGAGAAGGAGGGAATGAGAGAAGGAGGAGAGAGAAGGAGGAGAGAGGGAAGAGAGAAGGAGGGAAAGAGAAGGAGGAGAGGGAGAGAGAAGAAGGGAAAAAGTAAAGAGGGAAAGAGAAAAGGAAGAGAGAGGAGGAGAGAGGGAAGGGAGAAGATGGGGAAGAGAGGGAGGGAAGGGAAGGAATATATATATATGTCAGGAGCTACTTGAGAAACTGCAAGTCGCTTCTGGTGTGAGAGAATTGGCCGTCTGCAAGGACGTTGCCCAGGGGACGCCAGGATGATTTTGATTTTTTAACATCCTTGTGGGAGGCTTCTCTCATGTCCCTGTATGAGGAGCTGGAGCTGACAGAGGGAGCTCATCCACCTCTCCCCGGATTCGAACCTGCGACCTGTCGGTCTTTAGTCCTGCCGGCACAGGGGTTTAATCCACTGCGCCACCGGGGGCTCCATTCCACAGATATATAAACCCTATATGCCTAATTTCCAATATACCTCACAACCTCTGAGGATGCCTGCCATAGATGTGGGAGAAATGTCAGGAGAGAATGCTTCTGGAACTCACCGCAACGTTTCTATGCAAAGCCAGTGAATACTATAAGAGAGAATGAGGCTGCATGAGTCCATGTGCGCTGTGCCGAGATGCCACCCTTTATGGTTTGAGAAAAAAAAATTTTTTTCCATTTTTTGAACCACAATGATGGCGCATAATGAAAGTGGGAGGCTATGTATCCCAAGCGTGTGGTTCTTCCTCCTCCCTTCCTCTGTCAGAAATCAGGAAAGCGGTGCGGCCGCCTCTTTTCATAAAAGTCTGGCCCTTGTGCCAATTTTCCTTTTAGTGGAGGAAGGGACCTTCCTGCCAGAGGGGTTCACGCTTGCCGTGCCTCTTTGCAACCCGGCCTTCAAGGAAATCTCTGCAGCTGAGTTTTGGCAGCAAGACGGGGGAACTCAGCTTGAGACACAGAAAGTTAATGCCTCGCATTCAAGGCTCATAAAGGGGAGCGGGGCATGCATTCCTCGCTTTCTCCTTTCCTAATGAGGGACTTCAGGGTGGAAACATGCTTGTCGCACAAGCTTCAGTCCTCCGGGTGTTTTGGACTTCAACTCCCACAATTCCTAACAGCCTCGGGCCTTGATTCACATTAAATGGCCTTGCAGCTTCAAAGACTGGCTGTGGAAGGTATAGAGTGGGAGAAAGAACTCTTGTCTGTTGGAGGCAAGTGTGACTGTTGCAATTGAATGGCCTTGAAGCTTCAAAGACTGGCTGTAGAAAGTCCAGGGTAGGAGAAAGAACTCTTGCCTGTTGGAGGCAAGTG